TTTCGGGGATCACCGGTATTGTACCGGGACCACCGGAAGGGTCCCGGGGGTCCACCGGGTGGGGCCACCTATCTCGGAGGGCCCCGTGGGCTGAAGTGGGAAGGGAACCAGCCCCTGGTGGGCTGGTGCGCCCCCCCTTGGGCCTCCCCCTGCGCCTAGGGTTGGAAACCCTAGGGTGGGGGGCGCCCCACTTGACTTGGGGGGCAAGTCCCCCCCTAGGCCGCCATCCCCCTTGAGATGGGATCTCTAGGGGGCTAGCGCACCCCCTAGGCCCCCTATATAAAGAGGGGGAGGGAGGGCAGCCGCACCCTAGTCTCTGGCGCCTCCCTCTCCCCACGTACCACCTCTCCCTCTCGCTGTGCTTGGCGAAGCCCTGCCGAGATCGCCGCTACTTCCACCACCACGTTGTCGTGCTGCTGGATCTACATCAACCTCTCCTTCCCCCTTGCTGTATCAAGAAGGAGGAGACGTCTTCCCCAACCATACATGTGTTGAACGCGGAGGTGATGTCCGTTCAGCACTAGGATCTTCGGTGATTTGGATCACGACGAGTACGACTCCCTCAACCCCGTTCTCTTGAACGCTTTCACTCGCGGTCTACAAGGGTATGTAGATGCACTCCTATCTCGTTGCTAGCTGACTCCATAGATTGATTTTGGTGAAGCGTAGAAAAATTTAATTTTTTGCAACGTTCCCCAACAATCATCACGTGGTGTCTCGGCACGACGAACTGTAGCAACGGTGCATACTCAGGGAGAGCACTTGTACCTTGAAATTTAGTAAGGGATCATCTTATAATGCTACCGATGTTCTAAGCAAAATAATATGCATAAAGGATAAACATCACATGCAATCAAAATATGTGACATGATATGGCCATCATCATCTTGTGCTCATGATCTCCATCACCGAAGCATCGTCATGATCTCCAACGTCACCAGCGCGACACCTTGATCTCCATCGTAGCATCGTTGTCGTCTCTCCACCTATTGTTACTACGACTATCACTACTGCTTAGTGATAAAGTAAAACAATTACATGGTGATTGCATTGCATACAATAAAGCGACAACCATATGGCTCCTGCCAGTTGCCGATAACTTTGTTACAAAACATGATCATCTCATCCAACAATTTATATCATATCATGCTTGACCATATCACATCATAGCAAGCCTTGCAAAAACAAGTTAGACGTCCTCTACTTTGTTGTTGCAAGTTTTACGTGGCTGCTACGGGCTTCTAGCAAGAACCGTTCTTACCTACGCATCAAAACCACAACGATTTTTTGTCAAGTGTGCTGTTTTAACCTTCAACAAGGACCGGGCGTAGCCACACTCAATTCAACTAAAGTTGGAGAAACAGACACTCACCAGCCACCTATGTGCAAAGCACGTCGGTAGAACCAGTCTCGCATAAGCGTATGCGTAATGTTGGTCCGAGCCGCTTCATCCAACAATACCACCGAATCAAAGTATGAAATGCTAGTAAGCAGTATAACTATTATCGCCCACAATTCTTTGTATTCTACTCGTGCATATAACATCTACGCATAAACCTGGCTCGGATGCCACTGTTGGGGAACATAGTAATTTCAAAAAAATTCCTACGCACACGCAAGATCATGGTGATGCATAGCAACAAGAGGGGAGAGTGTGTCCACGTACCCTCGTAAACCGAAAGCGGAAGCGTTATGAAAACACGGTTGATGTAGTCGTACGTCTTCACGATCCAACAGATCTTAGCACCGAAGGTACGGCACCTCCTCGATCAGCACACGTTCAGCTCGGGGACGTCCCTCGTACTCTTGATCCAGTTGAGGCCGAGGGAGAGTTTCGTCAGCACGACGGCGTGGTGACGGTGATGATGAAGTTACCGGCGCAGGGTTTCGCCTAAGCACTACGACGGTATGACTGAGGTGTGTAACTGTGGAGGGGGGCACCGCACACGACTAAACAATGTCAACTTGTGTGTCCTAGGGTGCCCCCCTGCCCCCGTATATAAAGGAGCAAGGGGGGAGGTCGGCTGGCCCTTAGGGCGCGCCAGGAGAGGAGTCCTCCTCCTAGTAGGAGTAGGACTCCCCTTTCCTACTCCTACTAGGAGGGGGGAAAGGAAGGAGGAGAGGGAGAAGGAAAGGGGGGCGCCACCCCCCCCCCTTCCCTAGTCCAATTCGGACCAGAGGGGGAGGGGCCGCGCGGCCTGCCCTAGCTGGCCCTCTCTCTCTCCACTAAGGCCCATGTGGCCCATTAGTTCTCCGGGGTGGTCCGGTAACCCTCCAGCACTCTGGTTTTCTCCGAAATCACCCGGAACACTTCCGGTATCCGAATATAGCCGTCCAATATATCAATCTTTATGTCTCGACCCTTTCGAGACTCCTCGTCATGTCCGTGATCACATCCGGGACTCCGAACTATCTTCGGTACATCAAAACACATGAACTCATAATACCAATCGTCACCGAACTTTAAGCGTGCGGACCCTACGGGTTCGAGAACTATGTAGACATGACCGAGACATGTCTCCGGTCAATAACCAATAGCGGAACCTGGATGCTCATGTTGGTTCCTTCATATTCTACGAAGATCTTTATCGGTCAAACCACATAACAACATACGTTGTTCCCTCTGTCATCGGTATGTTACTTGCCCGAGATTCAATCGTCGGTATCTCAATACCTAGTTCAATCTCGTTATTGGCAAGTCTCTTTACTCGTTTCGTAATACTTCATCCCGCAACTAACTCATTAGTCACAATGCTTGCAAGGCTTATAGTGATGAGTATTACCGAGAGGGCCCAGAGATACCTATCCGAAACACGGAGTGACAAATCCTAATCTCGATCTATGCCAACCCAACAAACACCTTCAAAGACACCTGTAGAGCACATTTATAATCACATTTTACGTTGTGACGTTTGGTAGCACACAAAGTGTTCCTTCGGTATACGGGAGTTGCATAATCTCATGGTCTGAGGAACTTGTATAAGTCATGAAGAAAGCAGTAGCAATGAAACTAACACGATCATAATGGTAAGCTAAAGGATGGGTCATGTCCATCAAATCATTCTCCTAATGATGTGATCACGTTCATCAAATGACAACACATGTCTATGGTTAGGAAACTTAATCATCTTTGATTAACGAGCTAGTCAAGTAGAGGCATACTAGGGACTATAGGTTTTGTCTATGTATTCACACATGTACTATGTTTCCGATTAATACAATTCTAGCATGAATAATAAACATTTATCATGAATTAAGGAAATAAATAATAACTTTATTATCGCCTCTAGGGCATATTTTCTTCAAAGTCTCTATCGCCGCCGCAAGCCAGCTTGCGATGGCCACCGCTGGGAGCTACAAGTCGTGGGAGCCGTCGTTGGAGACGGCAACCACCTGTGCTACAACAATGACCCACCGGGAAGCTAGTGTGCTGCAAGCTGCTGCTGTAATTGCTAGAGATGGCAGGCACCCATGCTGCAACGACGACGACCGTATGCCGGTATGCTGTGAGCAGCGGCCGCTGCTACTAGAGATGGCGAGAGCCGATGCTGGAGACAGAGGCAATTGGTTTTGGGATGCGGCCACATGGTACTACGGCGATGACGTAGGATGCTGTAGTCGAGCCACCGGGATGCTACGACGTGCACCAGTGGGAGCTGGAACCATCCATTGAGGGTGCTACGACCCGTGTCGGACGTTGCTAGCAAAAACGACAAATCTGACCTTGGACAAAATTATTTCACAAACTGAACTGTGTTTGAAAAAATTCCACTCAGCTGACCCTTTTGTGTAGCGCCCGACATCTAGGCGTCACACTACACTGTGCAACGCCTAGCTCTCAGGCGCTACACGCCTAGTCAGCGTCGCATCCCAGACTGCCCGAAAAATGCTAAGTCAGTGTGCAACACCTGAGAGCTAGGCGCTACATACAGTGTAGCGCCTAGACGCTAGGCGCTGCACAACTTGGATTACAACAGCTGCAGCAGCTTGCACTCCCATTATCTCGTATGTTGTACAGGACAACTTTATGTTTATGCTTACGCCCGAGGGAGGAAGACGACACGCGCGGAGCATAAATTACTAGCCATACACGGAGTAATTTATATGCATCGTCCGTGGCTAGGTAGTAGTGCTAGGGTTGCTAGGTTTATTTCCAACACGGTGAACCACCAAACAACCAACTTGGTCAGCTGCGCTGTTCCATTTGATGATATAAAAGTACATCGTGATTCCCGAGGCATTGACTCGCCTTGCTCGTGCAAATACTGTATTGCCACCTGCTGGCACTGTTGTAATCCGAGTAGTGCAGCGCCTACTGTTGTCTAGGCGCTATACTGTTTAGTGTAGCGCTTAGTTATTAGGCGTTGCACATTGACTTAGCATTTTTTGGGCAGTTTGAGATGCGACACCGGCTAGGCATGTAGCGTCTGAGAGTTAGGCGCTGCACAGTATAGTGTGACGCTTAGATTTCGGGCGCTACACAAAAATGTCAGCTAAGGCAAAAAAAAAATCAAACACAGTTCAGTTTGTGAAATAATTTTGTCCATAGCTCAGATTTGTGGATTTTGCCACCGCTGCTACAACGGTGACACAGGGGATGCTGCAACCAGGCATGTGGGTGCTCAGGAACCACGGAGAGTTGGAACCAACCTCCACCTCTACATGCAACGTCACTGCAAAGCAGGGTGCTGCCCAGGAACAGCTACTACAAAGCCGGGGGTGTTGGGACGGTGATCGGTGATCGCGGGACCGCCAACCTGCCGTGCTGCCACGTGCTTTTCCCAACGGAGAAGTTGCGAAGGAGTAGTGCAAGGGATCAAAGAAAAACGGCAGAGAAAACTGAAGGCACCCAGCGATTAATCAAGAATTTGAACAACGTATGCGCAAGAAGAAACTCCATGAAACCGCCACCTGGGTCCTGATCCCCTGCTCCTCAGAAGGATCCAACATACAGTACTACCTCTCTTCGCTTCACTCCATTCTCAAACCTCCATCCTACCATGGCGGAGCACAAGCGTACAGTTTCCACCCTCGTTCTCCTCCTCCTCCTCTCCTTCTTCTCGGCGTCGACGAATGCCACACGGCCACCAGCAACGCTCCGCATCCCCGTCGTCCACCGCGACGCGGTCTTCCCGCCGCCGCCGGTCGCCAGCCGGGGTAACCTCCTAAGCCGCCGCGCGGCGGGCTACGCCACCCTCAAGGCGTCCCTCTGCCTCCGCCGCTCCTCCGCGCACAACGACCGCCTCCACTCCCCAGTCATGTCCGGGCTCCCCTTCGACAGCGGCGAGTACTTCGCGTCCGTCGGCGTGGGCACCCCGTCCACCACCGCGCTGCTCGTCATCGACACCGGGAGCGACCTCATCTGGCTGCAGTGCAAGCCCTGCCGCCGCTGCCACCGCCAGATGAGCCTGCTCTACGACCCCAAGGGCTCCAGCACCTACCGCCAGATCCCATGCTCGTCGCCGCGGTGCTTCCCTCGCCAGGGCTGCGACGGCAGCACCGGGGCCTGCGGGTACACCATGGTCTACGGCGACGGCTCCGGCAGCAGGGGCAACCTCGCCACCGACAGGCTCGTCTTCTCCAACGACACGTCCGTGGACAGCATCGTCATCGGGTGCGGCCACGACAACGAGGAGCTGTTCGACTCGTCGGCCGGGGTGCTGGGCGTCGGCCGCGGCGCCGGCTCCCTGGCGACGCAGGTGGCGCCGACCTACGGGCGCTACTTCGCCTACTGCCTCGGCGACCGCACGTCCGTCGCGCGGAGCAGCGGCTCCTACCTCGCCTTCGGCCGCACGCCGGAGCCGCCGTGCACGGCCTTCACCCCGCTGCTGTCCAACCCGCGGCGCCCCAACCTCTACTACGTGAACATGGCCGGCTTCAGCGTCGGCGGCAAGCGGGTCACCGGGGGCTTCTCCAGCTGCAGCCTCTCCTTGGACCCGGCGACCGGGCGGGGCGGCCTGGTGGTGGACTCGGGCACGTCCATATCGCGGCTCCCCAGGGACGCGTACGCGGCGCTGCGCGACGCCTTCGACGCGCGCGCGGCCGCGGCCGGGATGCGGAGGCTGGCCCGGGGCATGTCAGTGTTCGACGCGTGCTACGAGCTCCGAGGCGCCAGCGTGCCGGCAGTGACGCTGCACTTCGCCGGCGGGGCGGACGTGGCGCTGCCCCCGGGGAACTACTTCATACCCGAGCAGGGCGGGAAGTACCACTGCCTGGCGCTGGAGGCGACGGACGACGGGCTCAGCGTGCTCGGCAACGTCCTGCAGCAGGGATTCCGGGTCGTGTTCGACGTCGAGAAGGAGCGTGTCGGGTTCGCTCCAAATGGCTGCTAAGCTTGATCAACATTTATTTACACGGTTGTTTAACCTGAAGCACGAGTGTGTACCACCGCCTTAAATTGTTGTTTTCAGGTGTTACATAGTACTACTACATCAGTGGAGAAACCATACGCATGGTCGCACTGAATTTCCATAACAGTTGCAAACCCACGCTCACCATGCCATTGCTTTGCAATGATCTCTCAGAACTTCGTCCCGTTCCCCCCATTCGGTCGACAGCTTGAATGAAAGTAACAAAAGCACGTCCACTGTACATAAATTCCGGATTATAAAATTTGGTCTACTTTGCAAAAACCCGATCCACGACCAAAGCTAGAAGAATTAAAGCTCTTTTGAGGGTCTGCCTGAAATGGCCAGTCAACCTGACCGTGTAGAGTTTGCGAATTGCTATGTAATCGCACAACCATGACACGACGACATTCCAGGGATAGCCAGATTTTCGCCGAGTCAACTGATCTTTTGCTGAGCTGCCTCAACATACTGCAGAGCAAGCTTTTTCACCTTGTCACCCTCCTTGATCAGGAAGTTGGCATTCTTAGCCTCCGAGTGGTGCTTCATAACCTTCTCTGCTGTTTTAGCAACAGCCCACCTGTATTGCTCCACGGTGATTACGCCGCTCTTGCAAAGTGGCCTGATGTTCTCTTTCACAAACATTTCAACCTACAAATGTCGAAACAAAGCAGCTCAGAAGGGGCGTACATATGTAACACGCCTCCATGCAACACCTCATAGTTGTATTCAGAAATTCAGCCAGAGGGAATAACACTGTAAAAATAGATGTCCAGTGGAACATACAAGTGTGTTGTTACCTTCTTATGTATGGAACTAGATGAAACTGGTGTGCTGTTATTGCCTGGGTCAGGTGCTGGTTTCTTCCAACTGTCTACACTTTCTGCTGGATGGGTAGATGACTTGTCTCCTTTGGAATGTTTACGATTCAACTCTTGATTGCCACTGGAAGACTTCTCTTTACCGAGCTCCAGTTTCACTGCTTGACTGATTCCTTCACCTTCTTTCGGCACATTATTCCCATGACTAGATTTATTATGCAAATCGCTCACTGTTATGTCCATTTCTTTTGAGTCCTCCACATGCCCGGTACCTTCATCAGGGATGTCAGCTACAGTTTCCTTGTCTGTTTGACTCGTTTTTTCGCATTGCAAACTACATTTATCGGCTTCGGCCAAGTTCACTGAAAGGGTTTCATTTTCTGTTGCATCTGTAGTTTCTCCGCTGGGTATCAATTTCTGATCATCCTCAGAACTACATTTTGGTTGCTGACAGGATGAATCATCCTCATCTTTAAGTGGGGATGCATCCCTAAACCTAGAATCAGAACTTGACTGCAAACTTCTGCTCGGTTCAGAGTCCAAATTTACCAAGTAAGTATCATCTGTATTTGTATATTTTTGTTGCATGGAAATTGGAGAACCGGAAACTGTCCTGGAATTACATTCAGCTGTGGTACTTTTTCTCTCGGGACTGTTAGGAGGGGAATCAAAGAGGCCTGCTCTTTTTAGCGCTTCTTCCACGCTGTTGAAACAAACAGTATTTTCACTCGCATTCTGCTCAAGCACACCACCTAGTTCACTCTTATCAGTTTGTCCGGCAGTAGCAGGAATATCCAAAAGGCCTGCTCTGTCTAAAGCTTCTTCCACATTACTGTTACCACTATTGGTATTTTCAGTTGTAACCTGCTGTGATATCAAATCGCTGCTAACTTCAGCCTTTTCAGTTAGAGTTGAAGCATCATTCTCGGGTTTTGGCTTGGCAGACTGGCGAGTAGCCTGGGAGCAAAGATTCACATAAACTGATTTGCTACTGGACTTCCCGTAAATATCATTTTCTACATTGACAGCATCAGCAATAGCCAATTCGGTATCTGCACATCTGCGAATAACATCCAAATTTGCTCTCTGCAGATAATACTCGGCAATGCGGTAAAGTTGTGCCTGAGATACATAATTTGGTTGATAATTTGACCGTTGAACAAGAAAAATACAGGTACACTTGCAATTTATAATTAGAATTTAGTTGAAATGGAACAAAGTGAGAGCAAATAATGAAGCCGGCAATGTGTAAGCACAGTAAAGGACTCCCTTAATGATTACCTGTCTAACTGAAATAGGAACTTTATTATGACGTCCAGTTGTGAGCTGTGGCCGCATATCCACAGGAAGTTTTGCCTAAGAAAACCAAACTTGTTAGTGTTTCTAGAGTAGTGGTCAATGAACTTTTGAATTATTATTTTTTATAAGCTAACACCTACTAATAAAGGGTAGTTCCTGCTGAGATCGTCTGTGCCTTCTGTTTGATCTTTGCTAGCAATAGAGCTGGCATTTTTCCTTGCCAGGATCTCAAGGGCCCATTTTCTTTTGTCCTGCTTGATATCACCAGCAGATTGGTTTTGTTTATTCTGTGCTGCCTGACCATTTTTGTTTTCTCTTCTACTCAATGCTTCTTTACTCAGGGTCGAAGAACTCAATACTTTTCTGGTGCTGTTGGGCGAATTGATTTTGATTGTCTGAGTCACAGGTGCAGGTTTGTGTGTTGATTTGCTGTCGTCACCTTTGATTTGGCTATTTTTATCGAATGGGAGGCACCCTTCAAGGGCGGAGAGAGGTTTTATATCACCCTTTCTGGGAACAACTGATGCATCAGCCAGATATAACCTGGACAAAAAGGCTTTCTTCTCCTCAGCACTTTCTTTGCGCGTGCCAGTATCTGAGGATTCCTTGAGTAACTGAAGTACTGATTGCAGTGTCTCAATCTTTTCAGGATTTATCCCTGGGGAGCAACGATGTTTCCAGAAGTCAACTTCCCTGTCACGGTGCCATGCACTTCGTCTCCTTCCTGTGGATGATGCATACAACTTCTTGGTCAGATTCTCACGTATCTTGCCCTTTTGAAGCAGCGACTTCCTTGCGAGTGAAAGGTTGGGTTTTTTGGCTGGTCCATCCATGGACTTCCCAATTGCTGAACGGAATGCGGTCAAAAGTTTTTCGTCAAAAGCGTTATCCTTCTCGAGTATACTAATACCATTATCTCTAACTACTTCCCTTATCTCTTGTTGTAGCTTCTGAACTACAGCAGTTGATTCTTTTCCGTCCTTGTGTAAAATCTTCTTCATTCTAAGACCAGGCTTATCTCCTGCTCTTCTGCCTACAGGCTTCGCCAGCTCCCTGCCAGGATCCCTCATGTAGCTCTCTCCTTCAACTATACTCATTATATCAGGGACATATTTATTCTGTGTGGCAATTTTTGATGTATCACTGGCAATAACTTCGGCTGCAATCGAAGTAGCATGGCAGTCTGATGAAGAAACACCTGAGTTTGCAATGAGATCCATTTCCTGATCCGGCACTCCCAGTTTTGCTTTCTTCGCAGGATGACTAATTTCACCTCCTGATTCCATGTCACTGGTATTTTGTCTATCCTGCCTGGAAAAAAGACTGACAATACTAAAATGAAATTGTGTAGATCTATGCAACTGTCATGTGAGAGTGAAAATTAGCAGTTCTTGCAAGTGAGTGCAAAGCGAAAGATTCTTACATGGGTGGCAACTGCGTGTTCTGGTCATTTTTCCTCTTCTGAACTGCGTCTGAATTGATCATATCAATGTCAGCTGATCTTGCCACCTTACTAGCTGCATCGGTAAAAAGGGAAGATGTTATTTGGATGCATAATGTGATGACCACACGACCCCTTGAACAGACAAGAATGCGGTATAATCAAGCAAGATTGGGCCAGAAACAAACAAACAATCATATCTATCTAAACTAAGCTATAAAATATACATTGTCTGTAGTAATGTAATAATTTCCTTTTTTCGCTGTGAAAAAACAAACTTCTACCACCAAAAAGATCAACAAATTTCTAAAGGTGCAACTAACACAGCATACTGTCTACTGAAATATTCAAATATGATGACTGAATGACAAGTTGGCATGTGTTGAAGCTTACTAATCTCTGATAAGCTAGAAGTATGAGTCCTTCAATTATTGTGCTGGAATAAGCAAATTACCCAACATACCTGCTGATGAAAGTTGTGCAGATTTGATGACAGGAGATTTCCCATTACTGTTTCTAGGCAGCGCAGCATCCTCTCCTGTACTTTCAGCCTCCTTATTTCTACATAATAATGAATAAGATAGCCCATCTTGTGGTACTTCTGACTGTTCATTTGAAATATTACCATGCTCTGCGCTAAATAAGATACATGCTGACTCACGCATTGCTGAAAGTTCTGATGATCTTTGTGTTGGTTCAGAAGAAACCATGCGAGCCAAATTAGTTTCAGAAGATTTATTGTGTAAGCTACAGGAAATATCTTTGTTCCTCGGGATACAGGCATTTGCAACATCCTCATGTGATAAATCATCTATGGAACAACTTGGATGTGAATTGCAATAAAATGCTTCTTGGGCTGTCTTCGAGCCTAGTGAACCTTCTTGTAGGTCATCCTTACTTTCAGAATTTACACCAACCATCGAGACAACAAGGGCAGTTTCACCATCATCTGCAACAGATACTGACACCCTCCCAGAAAATGATGCACCGGTAGATGTTCTATCAGAATCTCCACTGATGTTTTGCTTCAGGATAACCTCTGACTCATTTTTCGCTTCAATCGATACACATCTACAGAATGCAATTGATAACTTCCTTATCACAAGCCCAGAGCAAAATAAAGATACTCCTACCAGCAAAGGGTAATCAAAGAGAGAGTCAGATAGTATCAGTGTAAAATTACCTTGGGCACAACCACGAATCTTCAGATGTAGTTTCTGGATTAAAGCCCACACATATAGCATGATACCTGGCTTAAGGATCAAAGTAATTAGAAAACAGAACTGGTTAACAAGTCTCAACTAATAATGGACATATAGGATAATAGTACAGTTATATATACCATAGATCACAGGAATCACAAGCAATTGATGTATCTAAAGCTGAATTATCCTCAGCTGCCACGAGTCCACTTCGAATTATGCAATCACCACCATCCAAACAAACTACTGCCTGGAAATGGGGAAAAAATAGCAAGCCACAGATCAACTTCGGGAGATAATGAATATGGGGAAGTTTCACTGGTTTGAAAAGGAAATGATGAAATATAATATGAATATTGTTACTTCTGCATCTATATAGTATGATGGGAAAGATAGTGTGTTGCTTTCGCCTGGCTCATACCAATCATCATCACCACTGCACAATAATAAGGAAAACAAATAGGAGAAGTAATTAGCATGGCCTTTATTTTATTTGTTGCGCATTCTTTCAAAATAAATAAATGAAAGGCATCTTAAAAGAAGAAATTTACAATCATGATGCTCATTACTCATGGACCAAATGATATGGCATGGATTCACAGGCAGATAAACTATTAGTACACACAAGCATATAAAAGTACACCAGCAATATTTTCCGCCTAACATGGTCAGGTGACTCAGTTGCCATCTTATGGTTAGTATACCTGACCAAGGGAAGGGCTCTCAATGGCGCTATGATTTAATGAATAAGAGTATTATTTTACAAAAGCTGATAATGGTTACACAACTTACAGGATGAAAGGCCCCAAAAATATGGCAGCAAGAAACCAATAATCTAGCTTATGAGGTGACAGGGGAACTACAGAGTAAACAACAACAAAATTGAACTAAGAGATGTTCAAACTGATGGTGCACGACCTTCTGACCTTACCTTGTTAAAGGGTAATCGTCTTCAATAGTATCTCCAGTACCAGTACTATCATATACCTTCAATACAAAGAAAAAAATTACATTCCAATGCAGTTCTACCTCTTCAGGCACTGAGCCAAAAAAAAATCCATGAATTTCCAGATGGTGTTAGTATTTTTCCAAGATTGACAGCACTGAGATATGTTTTACTTACTGGAGTGGATGTTATATTCTGAAATTCAATTTTGCAGAGGGGGCAGCGATTTGTGATGGCAGACCAGTTGTCTATGCATGTATAGCAAAACCTGTTATGTGAAATAAAGTTATTTAATTATCACATTAGAGCTTTAAACAACTCATGTAGGAGACTGTGAACATTGATACAATATCATTGCTTATGTGACTACAAGTCATATTTTTTTAACTTCTTCATGTGCAGAAATTAATTCCAAAGGTGTTAAGAGTGAGCAGCACTAGATAGAACATGTGAGGCTTAGAATCTAGTCAACAATGGTAATGTCAAATTAAAACTTGAACTTAAAGAACTTGAACTTAAAAAGGGTAAGGGAAAGCATTTCAATTAAATAAGCAAGAAGGTGGACTAGAATACAAAATTATCAAATGAGAATGACTTGGACGGTGCATAAACATATATGCGTTGACACTACGCAGGTTTAGCAAACATATTTACACAAAACGAAAAATAAGATTGTAACCTACAAAGTTCTAGCTGCACAATATTGACCCTCGAGACCTTAATGGTAAATATGAAGCTATGCACAAATGTTAGGGAGGTGATGGAACAAAGTCAAAAATGCAGGATAGCTGTAAATCCGTGATTGAGCCATACCAGTGTTGGCAACCATCCAAAACTCCTCTATCGATGACAATATCTCTACAAATGCCGCAAATTTCATTCTCAGATGTATAATTTTCCTGCAAAAAACAGTTTGGATGGATGATTAAAGCAAGAAACATAATTATAATTATGTTAGGGAACAAGAACTAGAGGTACAAAAAAGAGATAGCCCCTCCCTATAATGGCAAGCACGTATAACTACTAACTGATTATTGTTTGCATTTGCATACCCAGCCAAAGTTAGTGTGGATTGTCATCACCAAAACCATTTCCAGCTCAGAAAATGGGGAACAGTTCCCATAATTCAAAAGGTTCATCGCTGTGATGCAGGCAGTGCTTTCACATGTATTCCTATATTACATGAGAAGAGCTGTGTAACCATACGAGGATATCTTTAATTACTCGAAGAGCACCATAGCAAAGGCGAACAGACCATCCACAAAATAATCGTTAGAAACTACTCCCTCCGTTCACAAATATAAGATGTTTTGGATATTTCAATATGGACTACATACGGACTGAAATGAGTGAACAAACACACTAAAACATGTCTATATACATCGGATCCAAAAAAAGTTAGAACATCTTATATTTGTGTCCCTTTCCCTCAACTCATATAGTAGTACCAGCAAGTACTTGTTTCGAGAAAGAAATACACCAGCAAACACTTAGGTTTTTAGCACAAGAGCGAAACAGAAGGGACACAATACCAGGTTATCCATCTCTTCCAGCGCTTCACTTGGCTGCCCATCAACATCCATCTGCATCGGCATCGCTAACCAGCAGCAGATGCTGAGCTTTCTCGCCCAGCGGAAGAACCCTGTAGACCGAAAGAACAGCGGCCATGAACCAGAATTACTCAAAGCACCGCGGCATACGAGAGGTGGATGCAGTCTACCGATACAAATTGGGGAAACTTGAACTAGATCAGCGCAGGATATTACCGCGGATAGGTCGCCAGCTGCGGGGGAGCGGGGGATCAGGAGGAAGCTGGGCCGCTGGGGATGGGGGGCGCGTGGCCGTGCTCTCCGGGACAGTCGCTGCTCTTGCTAGGCGAGCACTTGCCCCGGCCCCCGACGGCGACGAGACACCGTGGGATCGCCGGTAGGCTGCGAGGGAGACCTAGGTAGGCTGCGGTCGCTCAGCAGGCAGGCCGCAGCTCAGGCGCTGCACGCCCTCTCTTCCGGCCCAGGCGACCGCCCCGCGCTGTTTGGACTTGGGTCGGGAATCTCCATCAGGCAATCGAGCCACTGCGCATACGCAGCACGCACAGATCTGCACGAAATCTGAAGAAATCCTGACCGTTGCTTATAATTAGTTTCTTTATAAGGCAAATTAGATTTTCTTTGAATCTTCTATATCTAAACAGGGGCACCCCACTAGGTGATTTTCCTGCCTTCTCATGAGGCTACATCACCTGAATTGTTATAGGCGTTGGTGCAGTACAGCTCAGGAGTCTACAACCGTCCGATGTTAAGTTCACGAAATTACTAAGTAGTGCCACGGCTAAGTGAAGCATATCGGTTCGTTCCTTTCCAGCCGCCCGCTCGCTGCCTTCCTCTGCTCTAGATTTCTTTTAGCTTTTTTTTGAGAACATCGATTTATTTTAGTTGGGTTGTAGACGTACGCTTTAATTTCTAACTTGGGTTGATGTAGCCAGATTGTGGGCTAGATAGTTGGGACTTTTGGTCCAGGTGGAAGGAAGCCTCTTTGCGCGTACGACGTATGGGCTCTATAGAGTTGGCTACTTCGGTTGCCTCAAAAAAAAGGATACTTTGGTGCAGATCAAAAAGCTTCTCTCACCCAAAGAAAAAAAGAGATTGTGTTATGCGTTGCAGTCCTATCATCTTCTCGAGATCCGTCTCATCGGTTTTTCAGTACCATCGGTTGATTTCTCTCATCCTCTTCGTCTTCTATTAATCTCCTCGACACATTGTGTCTTCTCCGACTCATGGTCTCCTCCACCAACAAATACCATCCCATCTAATCCAAACCCGTCTCCATTCTCGCTATCCTCCAATGGCTCTGTTGCCGCCGTCGCTCATAGGTTACAGACCCAAAAGCAAAGAAGCTGCTCTTCCTGTGCTCTTCAACGGCCATCTCCAAGAGTCAAAAGGTGAAAGAGCATCATGGTGAGCGACACAGTCCATCTGATTTGTACATACGATCTCCTAATTTATTTGATCCCTCCCACTTCCATGTGATGACAACTTGGGTATAGGGATCACACGATTTGTTGATGTGGGGTTTCTTCTTGGCTAGAACACGAAGTTTTTTACGTTCTTGGTTGCTTGCTGCAAACACTGTTATTGATTGGTTTAGTTATGGGTTCATTCTTGCAGGTCGGCAGAAACTATGACCGATGCTTATGTTCACGGACAATATGATCCAGCCGGTGAGAGATCCACATATAACCACAAGATTCAGTTTCTGTTGTACTACTTTATTATCTCATGTTATATTCCCCTACTTGCTTATATTTTTCCTTCCCAAGCAGCCGCTGCATGACACACATTGCATCGTGCGAACTGAAACCAGAGGCAAGGGCTAGCAAATATTAACATGTTTATTTAGATTTATGACCCATAAGCGGTTGAATTTTTGTCCGTCCTAATGAGCACTTCACTAGTAAAATTTCTTTACTTATTTTAACCTTCTGCACTTCTGATGTTTAATGATGTGATGATCTTAACAATAGCACTTCAGGGATAATTTTAGCAATAGTTTTCATTGTGATTCTCAATTTTGTTTTGTATTAGGCATTCGCTAAATGTAGCAATGAAAATCAAGAAATGAGTTGGTCCGTTTATCATCTAAAAAGAAACTCTTAATGACATATGACATCATCTATATATTTTTATCTCACGTTTTACCTTTGTGCATCTACCCTGATTGACAACACATGTCTTCTGTAGGATTCCTCTTAATTCTTCAAACAGTGATATACCATGTTCTTTTGTCGTTTCAATTAGAGAAGCTCAAAAGGAATACAAAGATGCAACTGCAATGGTGAAGAACACACAAGAACCAGCATTTTTCACTTTTAGATGTGAGTCCACATCTTAACACACTGCTATCACATTGTTTGGGGACCATCCGTCTTTGGATACTTTATTCACTAAGAAGACGACACTCACAAACAATATCAAATATATATTGTATGGTTCATATATGGTTGATGCTACAAATTGATATAATTTTACCATACAACTTCGAATAATTTTGAATCACTTATATGTTGAATCTATCATATTATTAATTATTATCACCTCTATATGAAGTCTACCATATTATTGATTCATATTGTCTCTTTCTTTGCTATGTGGATGTTAATGAAAAAATCACAAGAAATTCCTCGCTGCAACGCGCGGGGTATCACCTAGTTTAAACTGTTGTGCATCACGAATGTAGCATTACAGGAAGATAAAAGTCTATTTCAAACCTTAAATTTGTAGAGATCTGACTGAATCCTGATTTGTTAATACCTAAAATTAGCACCTAGAGAATTTGTGAATCTTCACCAACACCTTCTTCCTCTCCGTTGCGTTCTTGTGGTGAGATTGGATCTATAGTGTTCGTGGGTGGGATCGTATGGTAAAAAAATATTGTGTAGGTACGTTACTCTACAATTTTTGGGCTAGCTGATGTTCTAAGGTGTTACAGATCTTGTTTGTGATTTCTAAAGAATCCATGTTATGGTGATTTTTAGAGTTTACTTATACCATAATTATTAGGGCTTCAAAGAGAATTTTTATACTAAGTACTTTTGTGTATGGAGAAAATGCTACAAAATAAAGGTACATTATTATCTTAAGAGTTTATAGGGGTTCATTTTTTAGCCAACTTGACTTGACTAAAGTTTAGTTTCTTAGTAAGGCAAAATAACTCAACGTCCACGGCCGTCGCTTCCTCTCAAGAAAAGAAGGCTAATGTTCCTCAGCCTCTCGTCAGCGTCGGGTCCGCCTCGTCTCCGGTATCCTAAGGGTCATGAAGGCGCGGTGGATCCCGGCCCTTGCCAGCGGGAGGGATTTTGCTTCGTTTTTAGGTGTTTTTATGAGTATGTTTAGGGTTTGTGTCCTAGTGAGGGAGATGAGGCGGTGGTGACTTTGATACGTCTCAAACGTATCTATATTTTTTTATTGTTAAATTCTATTATATTATCATTCTTACATACTTTGGCCATCATTTTATATTCTTTTTCTATACTAACATATTAATCCAGCGCGTAGTGTCAGTTGTTGGTTTCTGCTTGTTTTTAGTTTTAGGTTTTTTTTTCTGAAACAAGAGACCCTAGAAGCTTCGGGGTGATATAGAAGATGGACTAGGGGGGCACAAGCCTAGGGGCGTGCCATGGGGCAGGGCGTGTTGTGGGCCCCCTACTACTCTGTTTGCCCTAATATTTGGCCTATAAATTCACATATATTACAACACCCTCGGAGCGAGACCTGAAACAATTTTATCGCCAACGCAAGCCTCTATTCCGAAACGATCTCATCTAGAGCCCTTTTTGACACTCTGCCGGAGGAGGAAACCATCTATGGAGCCCTCTTCATCAACCTTGCTGCCTCTATGGTGATGTGTGAGTAGTTCATCTTCGGGGCTGAGGGTGTGTACTAGTAGTTATGTGTTTGATCTTTCTGCCTCCCTCTCTCTCATGTTCTTGATTGATTTCGATCTGATTGTATGATAAGTTTTATTAATAGTTAGATCTTATGATGTTCGTCTCCCTCTATTCTTTTTATGGTGAACTGGGTCTTCTCTTTGAAGCTTTTTTTTATGTTGGATTAAATATTTTGGATTTGAGATCACTTGTTGCATGTCTAGTAATTAACTTGCGGATACCCGTGGTGACAATGGGGTAATCTAAACATAAAGGTTGAACAATATGTATCATATGGTGTTGTTGTAATATGATCTTTAGGATTATTCGTGACACTTTGGGATGGTTCAATAGATTGATTGGAAAAAGACAACTTTGAGGTAGTTTGCTACCTATGCGATTTCATCCTACTTTCTCCGATGGAATAGAAGCTTTGAAGTGATTCTTTGATACACCTTGAGGGATTATCATGATGTTCAATTATGTTAGTGATGTTGAGAGATTTCACTAGCGAAGGTATAAACCCTAGGCCTTGTTTTCAAGCATCGAGACACCGTTTTACTCACTTTTGTTACGTATTACCTTGCTGTATTTATTTGTTCATATTATAAAAACATATTTCTACCATCCATACTACACACCAATCATCATCTCTTCGCCGAACTAGTGCACCTATACAACTAAAAATTGTATTAGGTGTGTGGGGACACAATAGATCACTTATATCATGTCTTCGTTGAACTAGTGCACCTATACAACCGGCAATTGTATTAGGTGTGTTGGGAACACAAGAAATCACTTGTATTTGATTGCAGAGTTGCATGAGAGAGAATCACCTTCATCCTACACCTCACACGGATTGATAAACGTTAGATCATACACTTGAAAAAAAATTGCAATTGTCCTACGAAACACTTCACTTGGAGGCCCAACAAAGTCTACAAGAATAAAGTTGCATAGTAGACATTTGGCTCCCTAAAGATGGAATATGGTTCTCAATGACCAAGTTCGGTGGGTCTATTTGGATCGAGTCTTTGTTCATGTGTCTACAAGTTGGACTCTTCTGATCTATACTTATCTTCATCGGCGATGGTTGCTGCTCTCGTGCGCTAGTCCTATAGGGCATTAGCGCAACGACTTCCCTTCTGTCTACCACG